ACAATATAGTATTTTAGTCATATACACTGGAAATTAATGTACAAATTAAAATAGATACTAGTGTCTGTCACTAAAATAATTTAAATTCTATGCTGTATACTGTTTGGTAATCCTCTGTGTAAGCTGCTGTACCCTAAAACAAATGCTCTTCAAATACACTGACAGAGACTTAAAATACACTAAGCTGAAAAGCCATCTACAGTCAGCATCAGTTATTTTGCTTCTCTGGACCGATGGTTATTTGAGACTGTTGTGGTTTCTATTAACATAAGGGTTTTTACCTGTGCAAACGCTCGTACTCCACTTTCATGTTCAGCTTGCAAGTACTTTGCGTGTCCATGAAGCACCTGATTTAAGGCCCCCCCTACTAACGGGATTCTGTCCACAGGTTTCTGAGGACAGCAGATTTAGCCCCAAGAGGTCTAAGGTTCCCTCTACTCCTCAGGCAATATTCTCATTGATTCTCTCACTAGAAGAGTAACATCAGGCAGCCTGAGGGGAACAAACACCGGCTAAAGACTGAGGCCTTGACCCCACAAACATTTATGCTTTTTCCTAACAGTTGTATTAAGTTTCTGAAAATAAGCAGTCTCCTTGATGTCAGGGAGACTATTCATATTGGTGAAGTTGAGCACCAGTGTAACTGTTTGCAGAATCGGAGTTAGAGGGCAGTATTTTGTCAGATCTGTGCTGTGCATTTTTTGATATCTACACATTCATCACACGAGAAGTAGATTACCCTGGATGTGTCTCTGCGTACAAGGAATGACACTGCCTCAGCAGACTGCTTTGGTCTGCAGCCCAATGCTGCGCAAATCCACGTTAAGCGTCTCTCCTCAGTGCTTTCTGTATCAAGTAACACTGCTTGCATCATGAGTTTTGCAGTTTTAGTGAAGACGACTTTGAAGACTTCACCTGACCTATTTAGACTTCTTAAGCAATAAGCAACACCAAACTTCCCAAGGACAGCATCTTTCTTTCACTGATCCTGTTAATGTTACCTTTGACTTAAGAAGAAGGAACTAATTGCGAAAGAAAGCTGGGTCACACGCTGTATTTCCATTGCATTTATAAAGCTTAATGAACCATACTAAAAAAAGTTAATCAATTCCTTTAAAATCCAAAATATCTGAAGTTACTTCTGATAATCTACCCCACCTTCTTCTGAATGAGATGCTTGTTAGCCATATGCTACAGCTGATACCCACATCTGGAAAAATACTTGTAAACTCTAGCAATAGTTTATTAACTCTTTATAAAGCATTTTAAATGGAACTTTAATATAAAGTGTGACTGAAACCCATTATGTGTTAGAGGCCTCCTCTGTTACGAACAGACCTTTGTACCAGAGTTTATGAACAAAGTAAAAAAATTGCATAACAGGTTTAAGCCTTCTTTAACTTAGAAAAATTGCACATTCACACAATTAAAAACATCAGCTTCCTCCAACCTAAATCTCTCCTGTTGATTTTGGATCTATTCTGGGAAGGTGTAGCCTACCCAGGAGTTGGTCTGTACTTCTGAGATCTGGACAACACTGATAATTGTTGAATCACTGTCAAGGAGAGAGGGGGAAAAAGCACATACAAATGCAAAAATATGCATGCGTATTGCAGCCACTTGAGCTGACAGAAGAAATCCCCAAAAACCAAAACTGATTTCTGTGCAGCTGGGACTAAGTGGTAACTCTTAACGAGCTCTGAAAGGTACAGAGAGGGCAGATCAGGCACAGAAAAGGACTTGCTGGCCTGCGAGCTACATATGCTTTCAATGTAAGGAAAAATAAACCAAAAGAGCAGTCAAAGGTTAGCCATTTAGTGCAACAGAAAAATACACTTGAAGATTATTCCCTCTCACACCTAGCTAAGGAATGACACAATTTCTTTCAGTGCTTATTAATGGAACTCATGAGCAGCTGGGAATTCTCTCAAAAAAAACCCAAAAAACAAACTAGGTAGAAAATTTCCTCTCATAGCTCATCTCTTCTTTTAATGGGAAAATCACTTGTTCAGAAGGAGACACTGTTTGTACATGTTTGAACTGTTTAATACCACTATGGTATCCCCTGTAGACAACTGCCACAAATAGCTCAGAAATTTAAAAAAAAATAAAAAAATCAAAGTACTACTTATCTAGAAAAAAGGACAACTACTAGAAAAAGATGGATAGATTTTAACTGATAAATTGCATTGTAGGTCTGCAACTTCATTTCAACATCAAATGTCATGGGATGAGAGAACAGTGGGATATTTGAAGAGAGTTCTAAAAGAAAACTGCATTATTAAGCAAATGATTCAAAGAGTTACCAAGAAAAGGATTCTGACAGGACAGGCACAACTAAAAAGTCTTCTGCCAGTATTTCATATAACAGATATTTTAAAATGAGCAATCCAGTAGTGGTAAATATTTATGGAAATATCTGACTGACTTGAGGATGACAGTGACCACTGAAGTTTGGTATCCTATACAGACAAGCCAATATCTATTCCAAACACCAATTAATTTTTCAAAATGATCAAACATACAGGCACAATCTACTCAATAATTTAGAACAGAGTAATTTATCTAAATATTGACCACCTGTAAACCTCTTTCTTCTGTGAGTACTAGATCTTAAAAACATACTATGGAAACAACTCCTTTGAAAAATGGGAAACGGCAAATTCTCATGGTAATTGCTTGTTTTTACATACGTGCTGTTACTTTTTTCCTCATTTAGAAAGGATACAACTGACTTAAATACACGGGCTGGTGTAGTTTGCTGCTCATGTAATATTTCTTAAGCACAACTTTACACAGAAGCAATTCTCAGAATATCAAATGCTACTGCTACTCTAATGATCCAAGAATTCCTAAATATTTCTTTCTTTTCATTAAGTTTTATCCTGTCAGTTTTCTCAGTCTCAGCAACAAATACAATCAAGTATGATATCTGATTGGTTTTGACATGACCTGCAATCACAGCTTTCTTTGGCAATGAGAACTTACATGTAATCGCAGCAGGTAACCAAAAAGGGACACTGCTGACCAGCACTGCGACCAGAGAAATAGGTTTTAGAATGTGCTTACCTTAAGGACAAGAGGCATGTGGAGTTACATCCTCTCATTACGCATGCCAGTATTTCCCTTTTATGAAGGAATGCAAAATCTGTAACCATCAGTGTTATGCCCAGAAATAGGAAGCAGAGGTCTGGATTCATGGAACAGCTGACATGGCAAAACCATGACTTTTTAGGAGTGGCTAATGGACTTATTTTGAAACTATTCTTCAAACCTCCCACTCAGCAGAAAACCTAAAGGTATTGTAAATTTTAAGTATGTGCTTAGTTCCACAAATTTCAGTGGGACATGAGCAAAAGCTTATGTGCTTTTCCTGAAAGCCAGTAAACATCACCATAAGTTTGTGTATCTTGTTTCAGAGAGTACTTTACTCTTGGTTTCAGGGATAACTAGGGTTAACTGTGTGCAAGTGAAATGGTGTCACCCATGTCAAGAGTAAAAACTGGGGTACGGCAGAAAGAATCAGAAAAAAAAAAAAAAGACTCTTTGGCAAAGAACCATTCCTGTGCGGGCCAGAAAAGTGCTATTCCATAGTGAGGCAGGCAGAACTCACGTTCTGCACCTTTAGGTGGAAGAGTAAGCACTCTTCAAGGCAGTACTTCACCTATTTGTCGAAAATGAGCTCTTTTTTTTTTTTAAAAAAAAGGAGTTAAGACAGTAAATGAGGCATTTCTTACAAGTGTAACAACACTGAAGACCTATTCTTACTACATGATGTCAGTTGACGGAGGAGGGGTGCAAAAACAGCAAGTACTATATTCAGGACAACTTCCTCATGTCACCCGTCTACTTTTAACAGTATTTGCATTGTCTGCTTTACAGAAACGTTTCTATGAACAAAGTTTTTGCAAATACTTATGTAAATATTTGGATATCAGACTTGTGCAAATCTGTGCTAGGAGTTGCCATTAATACTGGAGGTATTTTATAGCCGTCTTGGAACTCCTCGCAGGTACGTAACTCGCTATAGGAGAAGACTCAAAACCAGATGGAGCCAAGAGTCTTTAAGAAAGGCTCAGAAGTAGTTATGTCTGCAATAATTATCACTCGATAATGTTGAGAAAGGAATCAATAAACAATTATTAAATTCACCCAATGGCTAAGGGAATCAACTGATGCAATACATTTCTTTTGACAAGCAGTTCATTCAGCTCTAAACTGATCCTAAATTTTCTAGCCGGTCATGAAATTTTCTAAATCTAATAAAATGCTTGTATTTTCATTTTATTGTAACATTTCTCTCAATTTTTTTTTTTATACTACTGAAATTCAGGTGCCCAAAACTACACTATGTGGGGTTTTTTTGTGATGTGAAGTCTTGCAAGTCATAATGTATTTTTTTATAAAACCTGTTTAAAAATTCAGTACAAATAAAAGTGTCTCAAATCTACTTTTTATGGAAATGTAGAAATAACTGGTAATAACTCAAAATTAGGAAGAGCTACAGCCCTCATGAATTCAGACCTTTCACTCCCATTTTCTCAGAATCACTCAATTTCAGAATAGAGCGAGTAAAAACATTAGTAGTTATGCAGTATGTTGCCATGTTAAAAATGTGCATTATGCAAAATCCCTACCCTCCTGAAAAAAAAGGCTATGAAAAATTTAGGTTTTACTGAGGAAAAAATACTCTCATAATAGCTATAGGATTTCAAATGTCTGCAAGGCAGATACTACCCTACTACAACACCACATCTCCAGTATTATGACTTTCCCCTATCATTCTACTACCTGAGTGATGTCAGTGTAAATTCAGGCACCATTAGTAAATTTTTGACCAAACATATACACAGCACTGACAAAGGAGTAAACAACCCTTCAGCTTACCAGTATATGTAAAAAAGACACTGACAAAATGGAAAATAACTTTTTTTTTATGATAAATTAATCCTATTATTTCCTCATTGCCCTGGAAAACCGAAAAGCTAGACACTATTTACTCATCAATCCTTTATTCTTTTTTTTAAGGATTCCTTTTACTGCAATTCAACACTGTTTACTTTGTAAGTAAGAAAATGGTAAAACTAAGTAGTCACGGAAGAATCCTCAATGCCTATGTCCCTTGCTTTCTCTCTCTCTGCGCTTTAACTCTTCTTTGTAGCAGTATGAACAGTAATTTTCAGTCTCAGGACGACCATAAAAGGAACAGTTCTCCTTCTTACAGCGGTTCTGCTGGATGGAATATATTGGGCAAACTGTGCTTCTGCCTTGATTTTTATCATTGTTCAACCAGGTCTGAGGAGCATCCTCATCAGCATATTCTAAGCAGTCTCTAATATCACCAGTATTGAATCCATTTGTGTATGTCTGCGACTTGTGTTCAGTGGGCATGGCATAGCTCAGCGATTCCACTGTGTTCACAGTACGGATACCAGATATCCGGGCTGGGCTATAGCTTTGAGAAGACAGTGATCTGTTTTGCTGGGGATAGGTGGCACAGGTTTTTAAGGTGCCAACCACTGGCTTGTAGGTATCATCTTGGAAGCTCGATGGCTTGGAGTTGACATCATGCAAATGGATGACGCTTTGCCTTTGAACAGGTGGCGTATGGCTATAGTGGGCAGATACCGGAATGGGTCCACTTTTCTTAGCACCATTACTAGGTGAAGAAAATGACCCAGGAGTGGGACTAGTGCGATCTTTAAATTTTAAAACCAGTTGAGTTGTATGGCTTTGAGGCAAGACGGGTGATGCCCTACCCTGAGGAGATGTTTCTAATTTTTCTTTTGAATATGCTTCTGGCTCCAGTTTCCTAGTAGATGACCCATTCAATGCAGCCTTTTTCTCAGCATCCTTTCTTTTCTGTTCCTGCTCTGCATTGAAACGCTCCTGCGCACTGGTCAAGTAATAGCCTATCATCTCCTCGTGGAACTGATGCCTATGACTGGTCAAAAGAAGGCCAGCAAAAATAAACTTTCGTTCACCCTGCATGGCAGCTCTCAAAATATTTAGGCTGAGTTTCACATCAGTGCTGTACTTCCATGGGTCAGACTGCTTGTCGGAGAAGGATTTAGTGTTCATCTTTTCAATGGGTGAGTTGCTAGCTCTGTCAGTTGGAGATGGAGTGGTCTTTTCAGATGGAGAAGTGCTCGCAGACTGTCCTGATTCCTCTTTGCTTCCTTTTCGAGACTTAGACTTCTTCTCTTTGACTTTCTCCACTGTGTCACCATTTTTTCCATTCCCTGAATTGGCTCTACTCATTTTGCCGTGCACCAGGCCTCCAAGACCACCCATATTCTTTTTCAGTTTAATTCCCAGGGTTTTACTGAGGCTTCCTATTTTATTGGCAACTGAATCCGTCCTGGTTTTGTCTTTATCTTTCCTCTGTTTGTCCTTTTCTTTTTCTTTACCGTTTTTGCCATTATTGCCGTTGGAATTACTACAGATGGAATCTCGGTCCGAGTCCATTGAGTCAGCCAGAGACTGAACGTCTTCCCCGGCTGAAGCTGTAGGGGATTCTGGTTGAGCCAAAGGGGCCTGCTATGGAAAAGTAATTATAATTAGATACAGCAAAATCAGTTCATACAGGGACTTGGTGCAAAAAAAACCCAAATCCAACATGCATTTTGAGACTGATTTTAAATGTACTTTTTAATTTGTGCATTGACATTTTAGACTGGTTTCTTCACCCAGTAAAGCTTATTTGGCTGTGCTGACTATGTATCTTGCTTGTCCCTACAGTAGCTTTTGTCTCATTTCAAGCACATTTGTAGAACAGAGGTCAGTCATTCAGAGGTTCTGTGAAAGTCAGCACTCCTGCGGAGGGGAAGGCTGCAGCACAGCCTCCCTGCTTGCGGCTGGCCAGGACACAGAGACTGGCCATTCAGTAAGAAGCATCTGCAGTACAGGCTGCCTCCCAGCCAGGGAGGAGAGAAAGAGCATGAAAAGAAACTGATAATATTGTGATGGAAGGGAAATGAGATTCTGCCGAAAGCAGTGAGGGGGATGCAGCACACAAACCTGTATGTACCAATATTTCAAAATTCATTATGTGCAAAAACCAACTCTTTTAAATTTATTCATTGTTGAGGTCTCCAGTGCATGAGAAGCAAACGTACAATACACCAGAGCTAAACATCTTGCTTGAAATATTAAACATTACACTTAAGCAAGTAGACTGAGGAATACAATGAGGTGTGTTCCTTCTTATTGGAAATAGAATGGAGATAAAACCAGTGTCAGAAGTCCGAGTTCCAAGTTATATTTTAGGTAAGGTGATAAAACATCTTTCTTGAAAATGCAATAGCAAAGATCTTAGGATACTTTAAAATGTGTCTCTCTTCACATACTCCTGCAAAACTTACACTTTCAGGCATGATGAAGCTAAAATCTGCTAAAGATAAATATGAACCATTTAACTAACCATAATGACTCATAGCGCAAAAAAGAAAAAAAAAAAAAAAAAAAAAAAAAGAACTTTCGGGTGTATCTTTTTCTAAAAAAAAAAACAAAAAAACAAAAAAAAAAAAAAAAAAAAAAAAAAAAAAAAAAAAAAAAAGCAGCTCTGGATGTATCTAGTTCCAGTATAGAAATGCACACCTACTTCTTGTCCCTGGGTATGTGAGTGTCCCCTCTGTCTCTCTCTGGAACGCCTGAGCACCCCATCACCCAGCTGGGAGCAGAGCTGTTATCCCCATTTGTCAAAGGAGGAAATGAGTGCTCAAGTGACCTGACCATGCTCACGTGGCAAGTGTGAAGCAGGGAGAAGTAACCTAGGTTCCACAAGTTTCAAGCTCACAGCGTACAACTACAGGACCATTTTGCCTCTCCTTTTTCTGATGTGGTAGCTACCACTGTAGAAACCATGGAAAAATGGATTTTTCTCCTCTTGCAGCTTGCTAAATGCTTTCTCCTTTTGTGTTCTGTTCCTCCTTTCAAATCCCATCTGCGCAGGCTGTCTAAATCACCTCCATCCTCTCCTAGCAACCTTTTGCCTCAAGACTAACCCCTCAATCTGTTCAATGTAATTTGCAGAGAAATTTGCCGCTGGCTAGGTGCCAGCTGGGCATGGTTCTAAAATAGCTTTCTGAAAGAACCAGGCCCCAGTTCAGCACCAGTCTGTGGCCTTTTGTCAGCCACTCCAAACTGGGAACTGCCCAAGGGTGCAAATGTATTCTCAGAAAGAGGAAGGACTGAGGACTGGTGACCTAACAGTGGCATTAGGAGTGCAAGCCAAAATTTTGAGAAAACAATGATGAGAAAAGGTCTGTTTTAAGGTTTTTCTGAACTACACGGACTACTGAAATAAGTAACAGAAGGATTAGTCTAGAAAATACATTTCAGAACAGTTTGACTTGCAAAAATATACAAGCAACTGTGTTATTAAAACGAGTAACTAGAAAAATCTATGAGCCTGATGCAATGACAGTGAGCCATGAGTGACTTGTCCCTGCTGCAAGGACACTCAGGTGTTTCCAGGCAGCTGGCCAGCCCAGGCAGCCTGCCCTACACAACTCCCTGTCGTGCCTTCTACCACTCATCTTAGACCGAGGGGGAAGTTCATCTTACCCGTGTCTCAGACGGTATGCGTATCCATGTTACATTCATATAGCTGTGCAGAAGATTAAGCTTTGCTTCAAGAGACAGAATCAAACTAAGGATGAAAAAAGAAGGGAACAAACAGTCAAAAACAGCCCGAAAGAAAAAGCAATGCTTCTTAACAGGGAGAGATGTAACAGTGGCCTGAATTGTGACCATCAGCTGGAGACCCACCCGTGTCTTCTCCGGTGTAACCAGAGAACATCAACAAGGGCCTCTCTGTTAGCAGTTCTCCCAACACTTCAATCGGGTAGAGCTCAAGACATTTTACTGCTTAACACTAAAGTTACAGAAAGGTCTTACTTGGCCAGCCTGGTGTTATCATTGTCATCTTTTCCCCACTCCCAGTCTTTCCCAGGATCGACAGCAAAGTGCAAAGGCAGTAACTTGTGTTCAGAGTCAGTCAGGGGGATCACCGCTGAAGTAGAGAAGAAACAAGGATTGGGGTGGGGGGAACGACAATGACAGAAAAATGATTTAGCTGTGAAAAGCAGCACAGCTGGTTGAAGAAGGCAGACAGAATTTGAGTGTGCTGCAGAATTGTCTCATCCAGAGCACCACAAATGACTTACACCGGGCTCCATTTCCCTATTTTGATGTGCTACAGAAGAGGAGAGGGACAGGTTAATGCAGTGATTGCTCCCGGAGTGAAAGACAGTCACCTGCGGAGGAGGGGAGACCTCTGGGAGAACACCATTGCCATTTTGTAATGCCCAACAGAGGTGGAGACAGAGCCATTAGAACAGCAGAAAGCAGTAAGCTGAAATACTCCTGCCTGTCTCTCACACAAGTGCACATACTTGTCAATTATTTTGTATTTTCAGTTTAGTACCTTTTTGTTTTCCTCTTCCAAAGGAACAAAGCAAAACACAGTTAACAAGGATTTTGGACTCAAACTGTGCATTAACGTAATTGAGGAGCACAGATCAACACATGGGTTAAGAGGTCAGTTCTTGGCCTCTCTGAGTGTAGTGAAAAGACCATTCCTGCCCGAATATCCCAGCATTCCTGTCCAGCTGGTTTGGCTCTTCTGTCCTTTCCCCTCTGCTAGGGCTTCTGCCTTCTGACACACATCTCAATGACTCTGCTGTACACTCAGCGTGCAGGGACTGCACTCTGATGTCACAGACTGTCTATCATCCATCACCCGCAAGAAACTGAAACACTGTCAGCTTTAATTAAAGCCAGCATTTTGCTTCCATTTCATTACGGAAAAAAAAAAAAAAAGTAAAAGCTGTTAAGGGACTAGATGGGATCCTCAGCATGGTGCAGGTCACTGCAGTTCCTCTGACAACCAATCAAGGAATTTAATTTTCTACACTAGAAACCTCAAGGACTTTTCCTAGGTATTTATTCCAGCAAAGCCAAGGGGCAAAGAAGCCTAGAGAAATCACCCAAACATCATGGCACTGGATTACTGAAAACTGACTGCACTTATTGGTTATATGCTGTTTACAATCTTTTTTGTAGTTCAGAAAGCATATGTTGTCAAAACAAAGGTAGAGCATTTTTGGTTAAATATTGTTCCTCACCTAGCAGCATGCAGGAAATTTAATCTGCATTCCAGATTAACATGGTGAAGTCAATATTTCATTCCGACAGTTTGACAAAAACTGCATAAAGCATATCTTCATCTTTGCAGGCTGGAAATAACAAGGTCAAACCTCTACAGATTTCATGGAAATGGTGCCCCCTACTGCTTATAAGTAGATAATTCTTGAAATATTTCCCCTTACGAACTGCAGATACAGTATGGAACAGCTGGAGACTAATCAACTTTAGTTCCAGTTACCACTGTAAGATGCAAGCACAGAAATTGATATCGTAAGAGAATTTAGCTCCTTAAAGAGACTCAATGTGAGTAAGTAGCAGAGAGTCTAACTCCACGGTTCAAAATACACTGTATAGCGAGCTCCTGAGGCACAAGAACGTAAGACGCGTACAGCAGAAGTGACAAAGGAATACACTTTTTAACACTCATTGGCGTAATGTGAGGGCTTACCCTGCTGCATTCAATGAAATGATTGCAGCGAAGGGGCCGGAATAACTGAGAACGCGATTTCCCAAGGAAACATGTTCTACCAATTCACTGAACTACTCACAGGTACTGACTGGATTCACAACTGACCTCACAATGCAATGTATCAGCCTTTTAAAGGAAGAAGGCAACTTTGAAAAGAGCAGTATTACAAGGTTACAACACTTCCACTTCTGGTAGCACCTAACCTTACAGGTACAACCTGGTAGAGAATTGGGAATGTGATCCTGAGGCAGGTGATGTTGGGAAGGAAGCCTTGACCAAAAAAACTGTCAGAGAGGTGAATTGGGCTCTTTGGGATTTAAAACTCAAAGGTAAATTTTAGTTTATTTTTTGTAAGGACAGCTTGACACTAACTAGTTCTCCTCCAGACAAGAGGATGTTAGTGTGTTTTCTCTTTTTATATACATTTAAAGTAGTGCTCAAAATGATGTGATAAATTATTATATGCCAAAGCAGAACTTCAGGCATTCACATCAGCGTATTTGACCACACGTTTCACAAATATAGGACATACTGTCTCTCCACAAGACAGCTTCTCAGCAGCTTAAAGATGTACGTACGTACACGCAGTAGTTCAGGCAGCTTCACATGCTGCTCCTGACAGCTGGTGACATGGTTTTAGTATAAATACTATGATTATAAGTTATGAATGGCCTGGCCATCAGAGATGCTTCTTTTAAGAAGTTGTAGCTCTAAGCTCTCAGCTGCATTCTGGTAAAAATCTGGCCATGTACTGTGGCACCTGTGGTTTTCTGACTCTTAACAATTGTTGCTCTCCCTTCCTCTGTGCCAAAGCTGGCAATACCTCCATGCTGACAAGGTACAAAAAAACAGGAATTATTAGAGCATCCTTGCGCCAATCTATTTGGTGTCTCAGCATCTGAAGAACAATAGCAATGCTGTGTTAGCATAGCATAGCAGTGCTTTTGCCAATCCTGTCAGAGGACGGCACAATAGCAAAAGGTTTGGTGGGTGGCAGTTACCCCATCTGTGGAGTTATGGCAGAGACAGTCAAGTTCAGTGTATTGAATCAAGTTATTTACACACACAGGCTCTTTTAACACCTGGGATAATAAAGTATTGTACGAAGGCAGACAGACGTGCCTGAAATAAAGGAGGTTACTGTCAGTGTGCTGCTATTATTCCGATCCCGGATGTTAGAAAGGAAGAAATGGACTCTACCTACTCCAGAAATTGGCTTGTTTCACCATCAACAGAACTCAGACCTAAAAAGAGTCAAGACCAAAGACACGGAGGCACATTCTACAAGACAACTCTACAATTTGTAACATGGACATATATGCAGGAGCTGCTAACTTAATAGCATGCTGACATTAGAGTCCTGGTTGTAGCACACAACCACCTGCCATCAACAGTGAAACAGTTCCCTACAAAGGCTCTCCAAAACTCTATCTTCATTCACATCCCATTCCTGCATTAGAATGGTACGAATATGCTTTGCAAGCTTTCCTTTTTCACAAGGTGTTTCACATCATACCTACACCACAGTGTACTGCTTTGGAAATGGTTCCTATGTGAAAAGCACTTTCCTAAGGGCTGCTCTTCTAGAGATTGAGGGCTGGAAGGCAGCTGCGACATCGCAGTGTGTAATGGCAAGGCCAGACCTCTTGCCAATCACCTACCTACAAATTCCTGAAATATCTACATGCCACTGAAGGCTGAGTAGTTGGACTGGATGGATTTTTCAATTGAATATCTGACATCTAGATCAACCGTTTTTTCCATTTCTGTCTTACAATTCAGTCTCCCCTTCAGCACCACAAAGTTTGCCAATACCACATGCAACCTTTTGTAGAGTGTTTCCTGCTTCACACAACCTCATGGAAAAATACTCTCTGCTCTGTCCAAGAGGGATGACTTACCTAAATGTCAAATTCTTGCATGACGATGTCTGCAACAAAATCTGTTGTTCAAGAGTTTCTTTCCTCCTTTGCATCATTTTAATGAACATCTTTCTCTCTACTTTGTGCAGCTGCAGTAAGCTGACTGACTCGTAAGCATACGAGGATTTTTACTTGCCTCTCAAATACTCTCTAGGAAGGAGGACTACATGAAATTCACTCAGGAGATCTCAACAACCAGCACACATTCCATGTTTACAGGTATGTGCATTCCTATGGGATTTAAAACACCTCTGCAATGTCATCAGGGAAAAAAAAAAAAAAAAAAGAAAAGGACGTCTCATACCTAACAGCAAAATTCCACTGAATTTTTCTAAAGCCTCACCATGTTTTTGGCAAAACACTTTTCCTTTCCCCACAAAAGCGGCAAAGACAGATAGGAGTTCACCTCACAGCTTTCTATGATAAAGCAAACAGCCCTTCCAAATAAGGCCAGTTACAGCTAGCTCCTGGGCTACTAATGCAGGAACAAATCCAATCCTGAAGCTCTTGCCACTCCCAGTCCCATGCTCAGGAACCTCAAACTCGACACAGACATATCTGGTCAGACTTTGTTGTCACTGTCCAAAGTAAAACAGAAGACGTGAAGATCATAAGACAAAAACATTTCAACAAAATGTTTTCAAATGAGAGAAGTGCATTTAGGACACTAGAAGAGTGATTTTTCCATTACATAAGTTTACAATAGTAATCTGACTCACACTTAACCTAAACACTTTACTAATCCCAATTAACAAAGGCCTTCAAGAAGCCAGGAGCGCTGTAGGGGACTACGATTATACCCGTTCATATATATGGAACAGCCTGACAAGTTTTAAGTGCCACGGACAGAGAGTGATAGCCCAAGGATTAGGACTGAAGAGTTCTTGGCTCCCAGTCTTGTGATTAGACCACTTAAGACTCCTAAGAATGCAGCAATAAAATTCAGCGGATATTGTTTACTTTCTGATAGATAGATACACCTACAGGTAGAAGAAAGTCATTTGTGCATTGTATTCAGTATATACCCTTGGGCTGCTGTGTTTATAGCATACCTTGTTCTCTCTGCTGATCTTTTTGTTCCATGGAAACAAGAGCAGAGAAATGAGCCTGATCATAGGCTAGCACAAGAGGTGAGCAATGGCATCTGTTAGGTAGAACTTCAAGTGGCAAATAAATTCCTCCAAATGGTATAGGTGCAAATGCTGCAAAGAAAGACAAGATTTTTTTTTTTTTCTAAAGATGTCAAAGAACAGACAATAATGTTGGTTCTATTGTATGTAACAATTGTGCTACAACATTTTCAGAGCTCCTGGAGAGTGGCCTGAAGTGGAGTAATCAATGGAGAAAACAGTCATAACAACAGGTAAAATTTCATTATAAAAACATCAGGAAATATACTAAGAACAATAATCAAAACATTCTGTTCTTACATATATCTTCGTTTACTAATAAAGACATTAAGGTCTCATAACAAAATCTTGATGACTCTCACACACATATGCAGATTTGTACGTTTCTGTAGTACTTCTAGGTAGCAGGATATTTTCTAATAATCAACAGTAAATACGCTATCAGTTCTATTGGTATCATTCTCTGTTCGTGCCTTGCATTAACAGCTTTATATAAGAAACATCACAAACACGTTTACACGTCACACACACGTCATCACATACGTATGAATGTGTATATGTGTGTATATATAATAACGATAAGGAAAGATTAAAAACATTCTACAACTAGAAGTTGAAAGGGATGCTGCACCTGTAAGGGCAAAGCTTGTTCCTCTGAAAGATTGTTTATATATACTCGTGGGAAACAGCAAGTTTGAGCAGGAGCATTCTCTCAACATGTTTGCTTCTGACCAATTATTTTTCCTTTTGCTGTGAAAATACAAATTCTTATTGCTGAGGTATTTCCAAAAATGAGAACAAGGAAAAAGTAAACCCAAATGTACCAAAACAATGCACTGTTTGTACTAGAGACTTTTTCTTTGAAGGGGTCTGCTGTGTCCAGACTTTGGGACAGAGAACAGTATTGGTATTGAGGTATAAATCTACATTTTGTTGAGGCTATCCAAATTTTACCAAGTTATTAGTCTTTTTGAAAACCTGTACTTTGTACAAACCAATAGTTAAAGTGGGGTAACTTGATCATGCTGGTCCTGGGAAACACACTGGGATTATTCTGACAGAATCAGAGTGGGTCAAGGAGAAGAAAATGTGGGGGGAGGGCATTTGGGATAGGAAATGTTATAAGGAAACGAAGCAATAGTGATCGAGTCAGAGCAGACAGCAGTCATACAGCCATCACTTGCAGGTCGCAATTTGAACAGAAACTGAAATTACCCAGCACTTTCCTGTAGAAGTAAATTTCTGTAAACTTCATAATGTGTTTAACATCGCCCTTTTACCAACCAAACATTCCCCTTTTAGTTAAGCAACGTACTGCCATTACAGAATCACAGAATCACAGAATGTTAGAGATTGGAAGGGACCTCGAAAGATCATCTAGTCCAATCCCCCTGCCGGAGCAGGAACACCTAGATCAGATCACACAGGAACGCATCCAGGCGGGCTTTGAATGTCTCCAGAGAAGGAGACTCCACAACCTCTCTGGGCAGCCTGTTCCAGTGCTCTGTCACCCTCACCATGAAGAAGTTTTTTCTCATATTCAAGTGGAACCTCCTATGTTCCAGCTTGAACCCATTGCCCCTTGTCCTATCACTAGATGTCATTAATTAATATTCTATTAGTTCATGGTAAAAAATGAGAGAGATTAATTTAATCATTCAAGTCCTGCTCAGACAGCTGTCCAGCTGGCTCCGCATGTGGATCTAACATTTGTGTGCTCACATGTGCAAACTGAATAAAACATTCTGGAAATTTTTGAATGAGAGGCTGCAAAGGAGTTAGTAAAACCAAAAAACCAAGATGTACACATTCAAAATTCAATTTTTCAAAGTCAGATTAGATTAATTTATGCAGAGTTTTAAGGAAATAACGCATCAAAATTAGAACCTTGTTAACCTAGACCAGTAAGAAATGTATTCTGTTCTGTAATTTGGTGGTTATTGATAGTAAATATCTATGATAAACAGATTTTCAGCAAGATTTACATAATTATCTTGTATTTTTTACTTTTATCTAATAGAAATGGCTCGAGTATCATTCTGCTCTTTTTTTTTTGCCCAGAAAAAGGCAGCAGCTATCCCATAAACACTCAGATATGTTACAGGCAGGTTTTTTGTCTGTGATACTTTACTATTAATTAAATTTACATAGGTGTATAAATTTCTAATGAAAAACTCTTACCTTCTCCCCCCGAGTCTCGTAACATTGTGTCTGCTACTACAACAATAGGTCTTCGCAAAATATGGGCTAAGACAAAAACATGGAACTCTTCTAAGCTCTCATACACTGGATCTTCTGAGTTGTCGACCCTGGAAGACAAAGCATTGAAACTTTTTGAACCAACCATTGAAGCTTCAGTGAGCCAGCGCATCAGAGCAGGTATTTCTTCTTCCATGTCACTCATATTCTCACTCTTCTGAAACACATATTCCAATTATTGGAATAGGTAACAGAGGAAACTGGAAAGGAAAAAATATTTTTGGAAATAAAATATAGCAACAGAGAAAATGTTTTCACTTGCAGGCTCCACACTAGTTTAGCAGTCAGCAAAATTCATTACTTTCTGATATTGTTTGGTAGCCTAATGGGAATACAAAAAGGTAATTCTTAGCCAAGCTCCTGGTGTAAATCTGCTTTTGTCACAAAAATCATGATTTCAAGTGATGCCCTTGGCATTTAGACTCTGTAATGAAAGGTAAGTGTTTTTCTAGTTCCTCACAAAATACAGGTAAGTTTACCTTGGCAATGTAAGAAACACTGATGTCAGCTTGAGTAGGAGGAATTTAACTTATGAAGTTGTCAATTTCTTTTCTTTGATTATTACCAAAACATAGAATCATAGAATAGAATAACAGACTGGTTTGGATTGGAACAGACCTTAGAGATCATCGAGTTCCAACCCCCCCGCTGTGGGCAGGGACACCTCCCACTAGCCCAGGTTGCTCATTTTCACAGCATCACGGAGTGGCTGAGATTGGAAGGGACGTCTGGAGGTCACCTTGTCCAACCCCCTGCTCAAGCAGGGCCACCTGGAGCCAGTTGCCCAGGACTGTGTCCAGACACGTTTTGAGTATCTCCAAGGAGGAAGACTTCACAGCCTCTCTGGGAAACCCTTTCAATATTCAATTTTATTTTGTCATTGCCAGTAATTCATGTGGGCAATCTTATATTATTTCAGTGCCACTGCTCAGGATTCAGTGCCAATTTTCCTAAAGATTAATGAGAATGAAAAACAATGATTAACAAGTATCCATAGCAACCTGCCACATCCTTTGATCCACTTATCATTCCATTTTTTTTCCTGGACCTTTATTTATGCTAACTACACAGCCATGAAAGTGATGGACAAAATAATTTTGTCAATATAACATGGAAGCAAAGGAAATTCAAGAAACTGAAATTAATTCCTCTGTTCATGTAAAGTTAATTTTTAAATAATGAAATCCACATACAGAAGAGCATCTAAATCTGCATTGCATAATCCTGCTCAACCAGGGCACTCGGACTAGGTATTTTATCTTGATTATAAGAACAAATTAACAAAAAAGTAAAAAAACCTCAATCTACCCTACAGGACCACTGCTACCTCGAATCCAAACAGGGTGGACACCTACTTAGCACTCCAAAGAGATTCTCTCTTCTATGGAAAATCCAATTTGCACTGCAGCCAGTAACAAAAGAAAAAAACCTCAAAAAGCTGAAACGGGCAAATCACCTACCCTGCTGTTCCACTCTGTCTGTCCCTGTCTGCTGTCTGTGCCTCTCTTTTGCCCATAAACTCTGAGCAAGATCTGTTTTCATGTCCCTGGATTTCCTTCTGGAGACCTCCCTGTGGTAACCTTGCCTTTCTTTCCCATACATATGCTCCAGATTCTCAGCTGGTCCAACAGACTCGTAACAGCTATTCCAAGTTTAGATTTAAGTTTCAGGATTTGTGCAGAGCAAGAGAGAAATGCCTGCTGACAGCTGAGATGTACTGAAACAACATGACAAGTACCAAGTTATTCAACCGAGAGATTAGGTACACGGATGAGACCAGGACGAAATCCCGAGTTCATATCTCCATCTGCCACCATTCCATTTCTGAAACCTCTTCTTTCCCTGCTTAAGAATCCCAAAATTAAAACCAACATACACCAGCGCCACAGCTTACTAGCAAGTACAAATTTCTGCTGTAGGTAGGTGTTGAAACCTAGACAATAGTTTGCAAAATGAAGGAATGGGTTGTAATTTTCTCTGCAGCGGGTTTGCAATAGTTAGGTTCTTAACAAAAACAGAGGGTACAAGACATTTCCCTTTCTCAAAGCCGTTGTTTCAATTCAATATCATTTACAGAAAGATGTGCAAATCTGTTTCAAAACAAGAACCTGCTTCATCATTAATTAGCTTGCTCTGCTGTAGTGCTTGAAGGATTATACATGTTGGAAACAAGAAAAAAAAGAACTAGGTTTTTCTGTTTTCCCTTTATCTTTTTGTTTTCTTCCAACTTCCAAGCCCAGAATGAGAGTGCCCTCAAAGAGGAAACCTTTGGAGATTTGGCGACAATTACGGATCTCCTCTACATGTAGTTCACTCTGAAAAATAACTAAAAAACTTGCAGGTGAATGAGGCAGCATAATTCCAGACTTCTGCTTGTCACTGAATTCCTTTGAAGCAGATACAACTTCTGATGCTTTAGCTAATTATGACACCAAAGGAGAATGGCTCATCTACAATTCAAAGACTAATTTGCTGGCTTTCTTAATGCAGTATCTAACTAGAGAATATAATATAACCCATCTCAAAAATACTATTTTGATATTCCCTTTTCTTCTCAAGGGCTCTATTTTGAACATGGGTATGTTAAACTGAGAAAGTAATTCACTCTGTCACATTCATTCTGTCTTTGGAGTAATTGTGAAGAGAATTACATATTCACATATTTAATAGGCTAAGTTTCTTGCCTGATTCCTCTTTCACCATTTTAAAGGGAAAATTAACTGTTGTCTATTTATCCTTACTTCATTTTGATCGGCAAACCATGATGACAACATTAACAACAATTTAAATTAATTGTTATATAATAGTGATACTCCCTGTTTAAGTATTTGGGAACTAAAGGTAAAGATAGTTGATTGTGATTGACTGGCAATTGCAACATTTGAGGACATCTCTGACTGGCAGATACTGAAACTGCATAGTACGTGAAATGTGCAGAATGAAACATACAGAATGAGGCCAGAGAAAACTGGTGGTGAATGGCCAAATTTAATAAAATTTGTGAATCAAATTGCTTTAGAAGACTAAGGTGTATCAACAGGAAAACATCTACAAACATAGCAAGCCAACTAGAGAGTAAAATGAAAACCAATCTATTTTTTTAGAGTCAAAATAGAAGAAAATGAGACACATTATGGCTGACAATCTTCTAAACAACGCCCTCCGGCATTAGTAGAATTACCTGTCCTTGACATCGCAGGGTTAAAAGGAAACCATAATATTCTTATACGCCCAGAGAATATTTTCTAAAGATTTTATTACTCTCATAGTATTGTATGCCCTATTTTGTCAATTCACTCATCACCACATATGGTTTTCTCCAGGGGAAACAGTAGCTAGGGAAAAACATACACTGACTAAGGAAACACTAAATATTTTTAGCGATAAACACTAGACACAAAACCTAAAGTTTCTGTATTCTTAAGGCTGGTCAATAATCCTATACTTTGGGAACAACTGCACTGAAAGTGAGGGATGGCTTATCAGACCAGCTATTTAAAGCAGAGAAGCTGATTCTCTATGTGTGTGAAGGGTATTTAAATGTAGTAGGTACTATTTAAGCACAAACTTTTTTACAAATATGTTTCTATCCATTTTTTCCAATAGCTCCTATATATCTAAACTAAATACATGCTGGCAGTAATGTAGACAGTACTGGGTTCTTCCCTGCGAGCAGCAATTTTTCTGGTACTGTTTATAATAAGCTACTTGACTAAAATGCTACTAATTGAGTATTATGTAAAAATTAAACATGCATACTAAACTGGTCTTGAAGAAAACACACTCTTTTCTTGCTTGCCTGTTAGCATGGGGTAGTAACTGGTAAACACTGCAATTTTGCAGAGTGTAATCAAAGTTAGCTGCAATCATCCATACTCTCATGGAATCAATCTAGATAAGCGGATATGAAATTAGGTTGGAAAAGAATCTGATGTGGTTCTTAGAAATACAGGCATATCCTATGCAGAACCTCCCAGCAACATACTTTACTAGGAAGATAGTGATAGTTTAATTTGAAATAAAGCCCCCTACAATCTTTAAATAATTCTTGCATTTGAGAGCAGAATTTATGTTACATGGGTTTAATAAAAGCTTGAATAGTCAGCGAAAGAGCAACTGTTCCTATCAGTATGATATTAACTATTGTAATTTTTAAAGTTTTTAAATAACTGTTCAAAGATTGAAGTAGCATATTGATTTTTCAGAAGGGTTTCATGAGACTACAAAGTGTAACTCAATTTTCTACTTTCTGTTTAAAAAGACACTGCATCCAAATACTTAATCTTTAGCTTTAATACCAAAAATATTACTTTCTTCCCCCATATGCTTAGGGTTAACAGCATTTTAAAAGTAGAAGCTGTGAAGAGTTACTTGGTGACTTGCCCCCAGAAAAGATCTCTCTCTGAAGATTTTCTGTTTGAACTACAAAGAAAAAAGGGATTAAATAAATGTATGAATATGAGAAGATGGCATTAAAGCTGTGCTACAGCACAGAAAAGGTGATATCCAGGCACAAATTACTTTCTTGTAGAATGCTATTAGAAGATGTGATGTTATTCTGTCGTGCCATGTTTCAGTGAAAGTATCTGAGCAGTGGCTATCTTTATGCTAAGTCTTTCTCAAACAAAAACTACGTATCTTCAGCTAGATGAGGCACTTCATCTCCTTGAAGCTAAACGCTGCTGACAACATGCTTGTTCCAGAAACCAAGAAACTGGGATTTATGAAATACAGACTCTGTTGCATGCAAAGAAACCTCAGGTTAGTGTGGTAACTGTAGAAGGAAACTTAACCAAAATGCTAAATATTGTTCCTTTGTACCATATTGTTTTCCAACTGACAACAAAAACTAGAAGATTTTGTCATACTCTGAACTTACCCACCACCAGTGCCTCCATTTTTGCTGAAATGTGTACGAGGTTCACTTGATGCCAGCTTCAGCAGTTCGTTCCACTCCCGTTCCCATTCTTCTTCGGTATACACTAAACCTGACTACGGGAAAGAATTAAATACCTTTACAATTACACTGCTACAAAGCGTAAGCAGAGTTCTGTAGCACAACTAACTTATTTTGAGCATCAGATATGACAAGGTGTAATTTCTGGGACCGTTAGTGGTTCAACATTTCTATTCAGGTTAACATGCTTTACTGTCCATTTCTTAAGGTTTCCTCTCTTCCCCAATACATGGAACTACGTAACTTAGCAGACAGGTGACGCTTTCTCAATGTGTTCAAGAGCAGAAAGGGTAAATAAGTGCTTCCGTGCCCTTGTGTTTTCAGGTAGCCTGAAGCAGCTGAGTCAGTGAGAGCTCAGCTGTATTCTCAATGACTGTTGCCAACAAAAAGCAGATTACAAACAACTCACAAACATTTAAACACATTCACTTGATTGCATTCCGGATTACTCTTGAAATTGGCTTTTCTAGCTACTGCTTAGGCACGGACATCTTCAGAAAATAATACATGCTGAAGTGCAACTTTTAATCAACAGTCAAGCCAAATCTACAGATTATTTTAGTTAAGAAACATCCACTCAATATTTGGTCACAGCTCTGAGAACACTAATTCACCATTCTGGGGAATCTTTCCTAAATGGGGTTTTCCTTCTTTTATGGATTTCATCTACTCATTTTACAATGCTTATTTTGCAGACCAAAATTTTCTACAGGTTCCAAACTCAACTTAGACCTTTGCAGGCACAAAACTGTTCATATTTATGCCCACAGAACTACAAAAATTCTGATAAAAAAATCCTAAATACAAGTATCTCTTTCCCCATGCAAAATGGAAGTGCAAGGAATTTGACAGTAATTAAAACTTTCACACCAAACTTCACAAGAATGCTTTTGACCCTAAATGATATTAACAAGACTGTCTTTAGGCCATACAGACCTCCTTGTTCTGCTGGGTCTGTTGCCATCTCCATCTTCTTTTCAGTGCTTCCCTTTCAGCTCCACTTCTCATCATAGTATAGAGTGCTTTACGTAAAACAAGGTCCCGGTCATGAAATCCCCACATCCCTAAAGTGGCACAAGATCACATTAAGCAGTTTGAAAGACGCTACAGTGAAACAGAAAGTATTAATACAATTAATATCACTCTATTAGCAAAAGAAGCATAGCTTATCTATTATTTAAGATTCTCTTTGGCAAATAATTCACTCATCATTTTTAAGGTTTCCTAAACAAAACAGTCAATATAGATAAGCAAATGAACAACAAGAGGGAATTCTAACAAAGTTTAAACTTTAATTAAGGAATGACTAAAGATTTGAGTTGTTCCAGTGTTTGCTTGCAGGCAACTTCAACCTTCCCATATACTTAAACTCTACAAGGAACCAACAGAGAGAATAGCTATAGATCACATTCTTGAAGACAGCAAGAGAACTGTTTAACAGCAGTCAGAGAATGAATGCAATTCCTCGCTCACAATGAGGACAATCCTGCAGAAGCACCTGGAATTTGCCTGTTCCAGAGCTGTTAGGTCAGGCTCTGTACAGAAACGGCAAATCACTGGTGTTTATGATATATGGTTTTTGATACTGCTTCAATTGTACTTCTTTTATAACCTGATAAAACGTTTACCTTCATCCCCCAAGCATGCCTAAAGCAAACAATACCTAAGTGAAACTGGAATAATATATTGCTCCAGAACCAGGCTTTAAATGAAGAGTCTTTGCATCGCATGTGTTTCTGAGCTTTTGCTGAGGATAGAGAAAAGTGATAAATATTTCTGGCAGACGGTTTAATGTACAGACTCTCCCTTACCTAAAGATGCAGCATGCAAGAGGCAGTTTCCATCACCTGTTGTAGCCAAGGGAAGAAGACGTTTGCAGCTTGTACACACTGTGGACCACCAATTTAGTCGTCCTGAAAAGAAAGCATCTATTAAAATGGTGGAGTGGATACTGAAACAGGATGAGTACTGTGTACAGGCATACAGCGATGATATGTAATGTTGAAGATTAATCATGAACATCCTTTCTGCCAAATAAACTTCAATGTCAGAAGTTAAAACTGAAAAGATTAGAAATAAGAGGCAGATAAACTTTAAATATTCCCTAAATGTATTTGGAATAAGAACAGAGACCTTTAATTAATTTGCATCTTCCGTTCTCATATGCTGCATTCAGGGATGGATTTCCAAGGAGTTCATTGCCTAAATACCAGTATGACTCTTGGCACCAGTTCCCAAACATAGTTGACAGTAGCCTCCCATACACAGAGGACAGATTACGGTACAATAGTGAAGTCTCAAAAGACAAAAGTAATATGAGTGTGTTAATCAAGACACATTACTGTTAGGTAAGTTTATTCAGTAAAGTACTATTGTTCCCATCAGATGGATTGTTTCAACAGCTACACTACCAGAGAATTAAAATGAGACCAGATGCACAGCTCAAGGTGTAGGATAGCCCGTGGCTTTTCGCTTTGAGAACATTTAGAGAACCACTTATCCACCACTGCTACATGAAGCATGTTTTACAGATTATAAAAAAAGAGATGGATTATGAAAAGGACTGACAAGAGGACAGATGTTTCCTGTATCTAGATGAAGCGAATAAAGCCATGAAGAGTATCAGTGCCAAAGCCAACACTGGTGTACATAATTCCTGGCACACAGGCTGCCCTGTGGTAGCTTATGGGAGCATTAAGTTTTGGTTAAATGGTTACATAAACATTTTTAATAAAAGAAAGAGAATGTTACTAATTGTACAGCATCTTTCGGGATAAGGAAGAGCAGATGATTAACAATGAGGAGTAGAGCTGGTTTATTTCCCTAGCCTTTTGGAAAGTCTGTGGGTAACGCACAATTGAATAATTGAATGAATAATGCAACAGGCAGCCAGAAACTCCATTTGTTTCTCTGTCCTCTTCTGCAGCCTCTTTCTCCCACAACTCCTTTACTTGAAAGCTGAGAGGAAACAGTATCTATATATTTGTACAGGTAGTCTTGCATTTAAGGTTAAATCCCAAAAACAAAAACAAGTTCAAGCAATGAAAAAAGCTTTTCTCCATTAATATGTTTTAATTAAAAATTATACTGAAGTTTATTTGTAACAACAAGGTAATACATATTTTGCAAAAAACCAGTATAACAATATTTTAACATGTGTTTCTTACAACTATGTAATTAAGCTTCAATTAGTCAGCATGGCTTGGGAGTTGTAAAGATGCACAGCAGATCAGTAACTAAGCACATCTGGTAATCCTCATATGATTTTCAGCAGCTAGTTTGTAAATGCCCAACATCTCAGCCTACCCTTACTGAGTTCTAAATTAAATACGCATTAAAGAAGCTTCATTTAAAGTGCTATTGGACAGCCTTTGGGAAGGATAAATCCGAAATAACAAGATATCATTTTTAGCAACTCCTGTGTCTGTGGGCTGTGAAATAACAACTTGCCACCTGTTTTTTGCAGAACGTTTAGGTGGTATTCTATTCAGTAATATGTTATACCAAGGTGCTAATCCTAGCACATGATCTAGCAGGGCTCA